CACCTCTCACTGCACATGAAATGCGTCAAATTTTACCACGATGACATCATGTCGACAAGTGCATTGCGATCAGTGACTTGTTCATATCTTGCTGTGTGGGATTAACTAGCGACAGAAATGAATGCAGTGGTAAGTTTTGATGTAGTTCATCGCTCTTGTGCTGTTTGGAATTGCAAATTATTTCATTATCTGTTTTGTGAGGAATTGCTATATTTGTGTGATGTCACAGTAAACATTTCCCGTATAAATTAGACCCTGCGCCCTTTATGCAGCCTTAACAGAGGTGCGTGCAGCTTAATTTTCTTGATCAAGGACCAACACGTGAGATGTATGTGGCAGTATTTCAAAGAAATTCACGCATTTTCCTGCTTAAGAATTAAATCTTGTTCAGGGTGCAATTAGAGTGTGTGACCTGGCGAAACGTGTAATAAAAATTGACGTCACGATATACAACGTGAAATAAACTCAAAATTTAACCATATGAAATTAACACTTTATCAGTTATGTTGTTTTATTTTTTTGTCTCCAACTATTGCTAAATGTGATTACATTTTTAAATTTTGGTTTGTCTGTCCGTCTGCCTGTCATTCTGTACATGTACAACACTAGTTTCTGGACGTTATTTCAAAATATTTACATTTGCTGTGTTTTTCTACTAAGGAAACTGTGATATAGATTTGAAATCATTTTTTGTGTATACTCACGCGTAGTAATATACACTGAGAAACTTGCGCTAAAGTGACGTCACAATGAGGCTACAGAAACGTTAATTAAAATATGACGATATAGGGCAGCGATAAATTCAAACATTGAGTATACTTTTTGGTGCATTTAAACATGTAAAATGTAAATATATGGAGCTTCATGAAATATGCCTACGTGACAAGTCTGTGTGATTTACACACCAATAACTCACACAAAACTGAAAATATTCCTTAAATGTCCTATAGCTTTTGCAATGAGATTGTTTAACTTATTGTGACTAAATACAGATCCCAGTTCATATTTTGGTAAAAAAGTGAAGATGAGAAATTTAGGTATAACATGAAATGCTTTCCAGGTAATAACTTTAGCTCCCTTTAGAGCATCGGTTATAAAAGTTCATATCTTTAAAATTACATAAATAAAAACGTATTGTTATGAGTGAAAAGTTCAAACTCATGGTCATTTATTCATATATAGCGTAAGTGGTCTCCAAGTGATACCTTTAATGTAGTTATTATTGAGCTTTTGCAATAAAATTTTAAATACTAACTCTCCATGGGTTTTCAAGATTCCTATTACATAAAGGCCTATATGGAGAGGACGTATATAGGCAGTGTCTGCTGTCCATTCCTATTATACTTATGCGTGATAAAATATTGTTTAAATTAAATTAAAGGTCTATATGCCGATACCAGTATTTCCTATTTTGCAGCAAGTGGTTTTTAATTAACAAGTTTAGTTTTCCAAAAGCTATTGCAATGTCTCTTTACTTAGATGATGAACCTTTTTAACTGAAAAGAGACCCCTTATTATTTTGAGACAAAAATATGTCAAGGTTAATCCTTTTTTCTTTTTCTTTCTCAATCTGCATTTACCCTCTTATTTTTTGTCCTTAAGGGAGGGACATAATATCCCTGAATTATATTGATTGCTTTCATTATTTTCTTTAAATAGATGCTACCATTTAGAAATCCTGGGCGAGTTTTCATTGGTGATTCTTATTAAATAAAACGCAGCACACTCAGAAACCTCATATCAGTTGTGCTCCTAAAATTTTAAATGTAAGCAAAAGGCTCCTACTTGCTAGAACATTGGTTGAGGAAAAGTCTACATTATTGGTGTTTACTGTAAAATATTCCAATTCAAGCGAAGATGTAAATTAAATTTTATTTAAAGAACACTAGGATAGAGATAAGCCTCACAGATTTTCTTACACAGTGATAAAACTACGTGGGAAGGATGAGTTCTTTGATATTTTGAATAACCTATACTTACCGTGTGATAAGTGTGAACTTTAAACTGTTCAATAAGTCATGGACAACTTCTCGTTCGTAGACGCAGTGACGTCAATGAAGTGTCATTATGAGTTAAGTTATTTTAAAAATATAACAAAGCAGCGTTTTATCAACTTGCCACTCAAGGGGCTTGACGATCATCTGAATATCATTGGTTTCTCAGGCCACATTAGTCCCACCTGGACCTGTAGTTTTGTCTAATTTGATAAATAAATAAGTCTGGTGAGAATTAGCTTGTCTTTATAGAAGTTCAGGAGTAAGTAAGATAAGGAACATAGAATAATAATAAGCCTCAATATACATGTATGGTAAACTTCCCAATTGTGCTGAGATAGTTTTAGGTTTTGCCATCTTAGCAAAACCTTAGAGCCTGAACCCTGAACACATTTTAGTTAAAAGTTTTGTTTGTTCGTCTGTTTGTTGTTAAACGTCCCTCTCGAGAATTTTCATTCATATGGAGAGGCCACCACTTGCCGGTGAAGGGCTACAAATTTTGACCTATATTCGGCAGTTAGGGACATTGAGCTGTGAGGGATCTTTTTCGTGCCAGCACCTACTGTAACACGGGACCTCGGTTTATACGGTCTCATCCGAAGGACCGGTCTCCACGTCCCGCAGTGGGATTCGAACCCTGGTTAAAGGTTAAATACTTTTTATAATCATTGAAACAGTTTGCATGCCAGACGTCATAAGAATGTTTTCTAAGAAGTTCTGTATTTTAATTATAAGACCACCTTAGTCTACCCTGGAGTTTTAACCAAGGGGTCATAAATTTAACGGTTGTTTTTGATGATTAATTGTTCTATAATCTAGACTTTACAAATTGATATCCAAGAAAAAGAAGATTTCTGAAGTTATTTTTGATGGTTTTCTCTATAATCCACAATGAAAATCACAATATTTCTCCTTAAGTGATGAAAACTATATACAGAAATTTGTTCACACTCGTGCAGGGGTTCCGTAGAAGAAACCGAAAACGTGTAATAGTTTGGGACCTATAGACAACTCACAACACAAGATACTAGCAATACATCATTGAAGAGACTCAGGGCACATAATAATTTAATAACTGGCGAATAGGGATTAATGAACAGTAAACTAACTACGTCTAAGTCTCGTACAATTTATTTCAGACCAAATTTATATTTCAATAAGTATACTAATATATCTTAATATGAATTGGCTTATTTCACCTCATCATCTTTTATATTCGCATTTACAATGAAAAGACTTGGCAAAATATACTCTCATTATTTTTTATTTAAAAAAAACAAAAAACATAATAATGTAACCAATGCCTGAAATGCTGTGATGTACTCATATATAAATTACATTATCATCACATTTATTTGTAAATTAAAAAAAGGAGAAAAAGAAAACAAAGAATATTGATTTCGTGATCTATATTAACGTTGCTTTCCACTCTTTACATCACCAGAAGAAAAATTTCTCCTTCAACTGTCATGCGTATGTTCAAATATTCCATTAACAAAGTGATAGATTTCCTACCCCCAAAAAATTCAGAAGATGGAGAATATTAAAGTCATCATTTGATACATATAAACTATATTTAAGCTATATATTGCGTATTTGAGCTTAAGATAATGATACGACATTAAGTGTAGATATACATGATATATTTTTTGCACATTCAAAGTTCTCCTATAATTTTGCTCTATTTGTGTTCATGTTAATATTAAGCTCCTTCACGTGCATGACTGCGGACAAATACATCATTAAGATCTTGATGAAAGAAGACTTACAAATGTACATGCATTTTTGTAATATTGTTAAAATAACATAATTTTTCTCTTTCTTCATATCTGCCTATCTCATACTCGTTTTTCTTTCTGAATCTGTTAAACTTGTGTTCGCTGATCTATCTCTCGTTCTCATTCGACGCGATTATCGTTGATTGTCTTAATATAGTGTCAAGCGGATGTATTATAAAACCTCTTTTATTTTTGTGGGTTGTTAAAAAATGATTTTTGTTTGATTGTTTCATCTTTGAATTGACAGAAAAGTCTCATAAATATATATATATATATATATATATATATATATATATATATATATATATATATATATATATATATATATATATATATATATATATATATATATATAATACGCCATATATATTTTTAAATGGAAAAGGTTATCGTCGGTAACAGATTTGACATGTCTGAGAGCATATTGACACACACAAAAAAAAATCAAATAATTTGCCAAGAAAGTACACAAAGACTTATTCTTATTTAGCGACTCTGATATATTTGATCTCAAAACTATGACTTTTTTTTCAGCTGCTTACAACCGGAAATTAAAATACAATACCTATCCTAACTGCACATACTGTCATCAAAAATATGTGCCTAGACGAGCCTCATATTATTCTGCGGAATGGACAACAAAATGTATCCCTTGTTGAACAATTTCAAAACTTTAAGGAAGCTCTTAACACTAAAGAAAGTTGTTTTCGGACTTAGAGAAAAATACATCATATAAGCGTAAACGTAATGGGTCTATCTTTTCCCATTTGTAACGTAGGTCACCTGCCTTATTTCCCGAGGAAAAAATGTTCATAGACAATCAACTACATTATCTTTGTGAACATTACTATTGTATACTTATGTTAGGGAAAACGTTCAATTACTCAGACATACTTAGTCAAATATAATGTGAAACATTTAAAACCATTAAAAATTGAGTCATGATCAGTAAAATTCTACTTGTTCTAGCTTACTTCTGAGGGCAGATCACTCCAAATTACCGGGGTAAAACTACCCTACATAAAGAACTCTTTATTCTGCAGTGGTTTAAGCTTCCTGAAACAATTTTATTTCTATCGCTTAAAATGACAGTCCAAACTTGTACACGTAACCTTTACCAAAAACAAAAATTGAACATTATTCCTAGAGATCTCAGTTTATTGTTTTACAAAAAATGTTACAGATCCATTTATTCCTTTTATGTTGAAGTAAATTCTTTATTCGTCTTCTATGTCAATGGCTTCCAGGAAACGCTTGTTAAGTTCAGTACATGATATTCTAAGTGCTGGTATCCTAATTTGGTATACAGAAATGAACACAATAACTTGGTAATATTCAAAGTATTTTCATTTATGACAGATATCCACCTATAAGCAGATCTCAGTGCATTTCCCCGATCTGTGCAATAAGAGCAACGCCTAACAGGTCCTTTCATAATTCTTTGCACATATAATTTTCTCTCCCATGTATAATCAATATTTAAAAAGGCGTATATTTTTGCCACTATTCTATGTGGATACTGACAGAGGTTTTCGTAAATTAGTTTCATCATTCTGCTCTTGTGACAGTGTTCCAGATTGTCAAAATTGTTAAGGTCATAGGAAATAGTGTTACACAGTTCTTTAGCCAGGAAAGACACATTTTTTCCTTCATTTATTTTTCGCTCAAACTGAGAGTTTATTATCCCACGAGGATCTCGTAGTAAATAAATAATTTTCAAATTTGGAAGCCATTTTAGGAGCTTTCCCGCCATATATATCGACAGCCGGATAGTTTTTATCGTCCTTGTTGCTGCAGTTCTACATTTGATTCGTAAAAGTACAGAGCACATTTTGACAATTCGGAGTTTGTTTTTGGTTTTCGTTGACCTCTTGGTCCTTAAACAATAATAATAATCTTTGAGCTCTGGAGTGTGAAACAAGATGAAATGGTTTGTTAAAGACGCTATGTCGATATGATCAAAATTGCAGGTAAACCAATGGTAGAGTAACTCTGGATAAACTGATTGCTGTTCTTCTCTGAAAATTTTTCTGCAAAATAAAACATACGGTACATGTAAAGTATACATTAGGTGTATTTTTTTCTTATACGCAAAATCTTTACAAGTGATATTAATTTTCATCAAAGTTTGGCCTTTTTTTAAATTTGGTGGGGAATTTCTGCTACTTAGCCTTAAAAAAGTAATCAAAAAGCTTTATCATTTACAATATTCAGCACTAAGTCTTTACGCCTAAATAAGCTTTTTTCTTTTAATTAGTTATATATTTAATTCGATCGTTTATTCATACTATTTGAAAAGCAAGATCAATGAAAATCGCCTGATTTACTTTCTTTTGACCAGTTGCTCGTGCTCAACGAGAGAGATACTCTGAAAGAGAGGGAGATAAAGAGATCCCTTGTATGAAAATTACTTATAAAAAACACCTCACGGTTCCATTTAGGAACTGTGTTGAACTGTTCCGTCTCATAGCCTGTGATACCCCATGTAACGGTTCAAACATATAAAAGTCCCCCTCCGTGTGTCGGACAATGTCAGCTGTCAGAGTGGATCCCCCTCGCATGTACCCCACAATCAGCCTCAAAGGTGTCATGTCCTTAGCATATCTATCTGCATAGAATACAAAACCATTATAGCAACTGGATAAAGAATAGGTGATGAAAAAAAAATACGTTGGTCAGTGTAAAAATGCTTATGTTGACCTGTAAGTCATACTTACGTTCACTGCTAATATGATAAGTTTTGGTTGAGGATAAGCAGAATAAGCTGTGCATTTGCAACATGTTTAGGATAGGAAATAATCCCCTCTCTAAAGAAGAAAAGACAGTGTTATTATTAAGTAAGGTTAATTGAATAAATCTGAAAGATATTAGGGTTATAAAAAGTGTTTGCTGTCATGTTGTGTTCCTTTTCTGAAATGCTCATGGGTCGGGCGTTATCAAAAATTTCTAATAAATAAGTAAAACTAAAAAATAATGGTAAAAATAATTCAATGTACGACGGCATGCCTTTTCAAGGTAGAATATTGAACCTGATATAATAAAATAATGGCCAAAGGTCATTGTTAACTATTATACCCTTTCATCTAATTTCACACATGCAATGATTTCTTTTCTCTTTTCTCTTTTTGGGATGCTGAACAGAATCTTTTGACACCTTTTAGAATTATGGAAACAAATATCTGCTGAGAAAAATCATTACAATAGAAGCATCACGCGATGTTTTGGTAACTAGCTGGGAAAAAAACACAAAGTTCATTACCAGGGATTTTTTTCATGCTTTTATATTGGAAAGTTGTTCAAAGTAGGACGAAAATACATTATACATTTTGACTTCTATAATACACATTTAGAGGTAAATTATCCCATTTACGGGAAAATAAATAAAAAATTATGATTGTGTAATTATACAGAAAAAGAATTTCACATTACACATTCGTTCCTTACATCCAATTAAGCAAATTCTCAGTTTATGATGGAAAAATAGTTTTTATCAAAAAAAGACATGTATAAACATGTTTGGTATGATGATTGAAAAGTAAATGCATTGTCTTATTATAACTAGGCCCGTTGCAACGGTCTCAAAAGTGCTGGGACCTATTTTCCAAAACATCTGACAAGCAAAAAATATATAATAACTGTTCAAATCCTGGAATTTGCCAGTGCTTGGACTTACAACAAAAAAACTAAAGGAAAATTTTGCCTTAAACTTGAAAATTGAAATACATTTTCCACTTCTTTATAACAATAATTATTGATAAAAGAATTTTGTGTTACGAATATATTTTCTTAAAAATTATACATAAATCTATTAGGAAATAATGGAAAAATTACAAAATTATTCATTTTGGATTGATTATTTCTTTTAAAAAACTTAAATTAAGATTTTCATTATTGTTGATGTGACTAAAATAATTACACTTTCTTGTGACTGTCAAATTTACTTTCAATATATTGATGATATAGCAAAACAGAAAATTCTTTTTAATGCCAAAAATACGTAAACATGAAGGTAGAATATGTTATATTTAAAGACCTTAGTCTAAGATCATTCCTTCAAATCACTACCTCGAAATAAATATAGTCGGATTTACCGGCATTGTCAGAGTCACGATCTTTAAAAAACCATGCAATATCTACACTGTATCTGTCATGTACATAACTATTTCAAAACAAATGTCTAAAGTTAGCATCGTTCTGTCAGAATAAAAAGCAGTAAGATTTATTTCTTTGTACAACGCTATACTTTTAAATCTTTCTCAAAATCCTGATAAGTTATTGAAAAAGAATATTTGTTTCAGTCTAAGTGGTTAACATAGTAATGGCTATTTAAGTTTCACAGTTACAAAATCGAATATTCCAAATATATAAATACGCAAGTCAACTTCGAGAAAAACAATTTTGTATCAATCAATCATGCACTTTGCGTCAGCAACTGAACATAGAAGTAGTCATATTTTACTCATGGCAATGTGTCTTAATTAGTCAACAAATACAAATTAAATATTTTTAAATTAAAAAAGCCAAATCAGAAAAAATAAAATCTGTAGGATTTTTTATCCCATGAGAAGAAAAAATACAAACAGTTCTATGAAAACCTCTGTGTCAACTTACACATTTATATGTAGCACTGCTTGTTTTCCTTCAGATTCATGAGACAGTGAGATTTTGAACAGTGATGTGTTCAGGATCAATATCTTGTAAAAAGGATTGTATCTTTAGAAAGAAATATAAACGAAATAACGAAGACAGATATTACGCTAAAAATTGTGGGTTTTTTATATACATTTGAACGTCTAATACCACTCATAATCAGCTCAGCAGAAAGATAATTTATTTTAAAACATAGAAAAATTCAATTCAGTTTGATTTAGCTGAAATTTAATGTAATGATATGTCAAACGAAGACTAAGAATTTATTTTTATTTTAAAAGGAGTGATATTACATATAAAAAATTTGGTTTAAAACCTTAAAGAAATAAGTTTTTATCCGATAATGCAGTGGTTTATTATCTGATATATAACTAAATATGTTAACCTTGCTAAAAGAAGACTAATTAACATTGAAAACTAATTACCTCGGATTGCGTCATTTAAAATGTAAATGAAGAAGAAACCAATACACAGAAAACTGCCTCTTAGGATAACACAATGTATTCCTCGTAAACAAAACGTCTTCATCATAACTTAATAGCTCAGATTTAAAGTTCCAATTCTGAAACAAAAGAGTCTTATACATTGCGATGCTAAAGATTACAAATATTCATGTCAGATGATTAAAAGGTTATGCTTAAATGGTGTTTAAAGAATCAGTTTAACACATGCTAACCTCTGTTCCCGTACTTATTTTTGTCTTCCCACACTACATGTAAGATGAACTTTGTAAATTGTACATGTTTGTTTGGTGAAAATTGTAAAAATTTTGAACTTTTGAGTGTATTCAAAATATAAATTGTATCTTGAAGAAAAGTTTTTTTGTGTGTTATTGGTCTGCAGAACAAACAGATTTTTCGTTTAGGCATACGTAATTACACTAACAAACTTCAGAAAATTAGTCCTTAAATAGGCATTATATACATAAACTAAGTTTGCAATAAAGAAAAATCGAAAACATGTCGTTATTGGACATCTATTTTGATTGGTGACATTACTTTTATCAAAAAGTATACAATTATTAAAAAGCGTTTCTAGCTATCGTCAAAAAAGCATCGTAATCATTATTTTTTCAATATGGCTGTAAGAGAGCAGAGCTTACACTATCTTTCATACAAATATTGAACTGGCATATATATTTATATTTCCATTTCTATTTGTTTTCTCTGTGATAACTCTTTGAAAGTTAGTCGAGTTGATTTCTTAATCATTCTACCGGAATGTAAATTTTGCCAAGCGAAAGGTCAGTAGCTTAGAAGGCCTAATATGCATGTAAATCTCGTGCTGCTGTCTTTGTGTTTGACGTCAGTGGGCGGGGACTATTGAAATTGACATCTGAGGCCTCGTGTAATTTAAATCTATTAGTCTACATAAAGGGCTTCGTCCGTTATGCAAATTATCCCACGTTTCCAACTATCGTTGATGCCCTGGCATGCTCTACTAACTAGACAGTGATTCCTTAAATAAACATTACTCTCTGATTTTGATGCTTCGGATAAATAATACTTGAATAGTGTGACAGAGCCAGAGAGTCAAGCGAAAGCTTACCTCGTCTAACTACATAAATCTGAGGCTGCGTACTAGATTTATCAAACTTTCAATATTAATGTTGAAGTGTGATCGATTACTGCAGAATAAAATTCACATCAAAATTTCTTCATCTAAATTTTATTTCATTAAATGCTTCAGCAAATTCTGACGATTTTTTTCTTTTACAAATGCACATTTTGCACCAATATCATTGGTAAAGAACAAGGTACGGTTTCAATACATATCTGGCTCTGTATTTTTCTAAAATTTAGAAGTGACGTAAGAGATTTAAATTCATCTTTTCTGAATTATTGAAATTCCATGAAGTTGTTGATTGTTGTTGATTGTATTTTGCTTAACGTCCCTCTCGAGAATTTTTCACTCATATGGAGACGCCACCACTTGCCGGTGGAGAGCTGCAAATTTTGTCCTATGCTCGGCACTTACGGCCATTGAGCAGTGGGGGATCTTTTTCGTGCCAGCACCTACTGCGACACGGGACCTCGGTTTATACAGTCTCATCCGAAGGACCGGTCTCCACGTCCCACAGTGGGATTCGAACCCGCGACGAAAGGATCAACTCCTTACTTCGCGACTCTAGAGCAGACGCTTTAACCACTGCGACACGCGGGCGACAATTTCATGCAGTAAGAATATGCAAATCGTTTTTCCAATATGACGTCCTAAATACTAATTGTGACGTCAAGAACTTGTGCATTTTCTCGCATTTTCTTTAAAAGTTGCAGAAGTCATCAATTTTCAGTGGAATTTTCTTTCAAAAACATACAGCGCATGCATCGCCCACAAAGATTTTGAGATATGTATTTTTCAAATCATTTTACACTATATAAGTAAAAAATTGAAGTGGGTGAGGGCTGTGGAAAGGAAAATAAGCATAGAAATGAGTCATTATCAGGCTTTTTTAGCATAAAACTTAGAAATGTACAAAATTGATGACATCATATTTTCAGAATGGTCCTCCTTTATGCCATATTCTTTAATGATTTATCATATTCATCTACTCAACTTATGTTATAACCAGTTTCATAACCTTTTAAGAACATTAAATTTTTAGGGCACAATAAAGCCCAAACCGTACCTTTTTCTTTGATAATTAAATTTTGAGATAACTATCAGTAATCAAGCTCAAACGTCCATTGAAACAATACAAATTAGGAGTAGAGCAAACGCCTTTGGTGTCTAGGGGGTCCCAAAGAAATGCTGGAAACAGCTGGCAGAAAATGATTGGAAAAAAACACTATATAAAATAATTTTTAAATAATTAAGGACCATGTCTTTATATGCAATAAAATATTCGTACATGAATTTATATAGTTTTTCTTTACTTTTCATATGTCGACTCGATATATCCCAGCGATCTTGAAATAAAAGATAACAAAGAGTCTGACACATCTATTTCATATTTAA